GTTTGTCCCAAGAAGAACACAAATAAGTGGCGTAACGTGTTAGCTACCATCGTCCATGAAAACCACAACATCAACCTGAAGTCCATAAGGGGTTGACCTGCTGTTAGCAAAAATGAGAGATATTTTCAAGTTCAACGACCACGACATGGCCTGACCTGCTGTTAGAAAGACATGCCATGCTCACGTTCACCTCAGCCTTGAGTTCCCAGAGATACAGTGCAAACAAACTACTGGAAGAGGGAAATGATTTAGATGAGGTTATCAAAAATAGATGAGGTTATTTAGGCTTCGCCCCGCCCCCGCGCGTCGCCTTTGGCGCACACGGGAAACCCTAACCGCGCCGCCAGCCGTCCCTCCCCACTCCTCCCCCGCTTCGCCGCCGCCGGAGGGGACACCGGCGAAGCCCGTGTGGTCCCCAGGGAAGGTGGCGGCGGGGCGTCCTCGCCGTTTCGCCATGGCCGACCGCAGATCTCGTGGCGACCGGTGACGCGCGGCGGTGTTTCGCCGGTGGCTGGCGCCTGCTGCCCGTGGGGCGGCGTCCCTCACGGCGGCGGGGCTGCCCCTGAATGGCGTTTGGTGGTGGCCACTTGGCGGCGCGTGGGTGGGCCGGATCTGGGCTGCGGGTCTGCGTCCCCGTCATGGCAGCGCTTGCCGTTGCCCTCAGCCATGGGGCGTGGTCCTGGCGGGCCTAGCGCTGGTGGTGCTGGCCAGGACCACGCTGGCAGTGCCCTACTTCATCTTGCGTCGTCTCGCTGGCCAGTGGTGGTGGTCATCTTCTTCGCCAGAGATGGCCGACCAGAGGCTTGGTGATCGGATCTCGAGATCCATCATCTAGTCCCGGCTACGAGTTGGGGAGACATGGTTGCCGGTGAAAACCGAGCCAACGACAGGTGATGGCGGTGTTCTACGCCGTTACCTTGATGGAGGCATCATCGTATAACTACTGTCGACCCACTCGTGCTGCTCTGGAGGAAACCCTAGGATCTGATGTTCCAGATCGAACGATGGTGGCACTGCGGTGTTGTTCCTCTCTTGGGAGCATCGTTTGTGGAGCAACGCTGGAAGTTAGGGGCAGGAGGTGGAGCGGCTTCGTCTTGCACGGAGCTTCGGTGGAGATGTCAAGTCATGCCTGACCGACAGGTGCTACGCTTTGTCATGCCTGGTCGGCGGGTGCTATGCACGACATATCTTCCAAAGACTTCAAGCTATGTCGGCTGGTGGTACTTGGCAGCATGATGCTGAGGTGTATCAGTGGCGACCGCGACGTGCTCAGCTGTTTGCGCGCAGAGAAGATGTGCCGTTGGGCGCCGTGGTGGCGCTGACGATAGCTAGATTGAGCAAGGTTGATGCATCAGTACAGTTCTGAAGATGGAGAGGTGGCAGTTGGCGGCAGTGGCCTCTGGGAGCACGCCGGGCCAGTGTGTGCCCCACGCCCGGCAAGTGGCTAGGTTGGGGTCTCAGGTCTTAGATGTTAGGCTTGGCTGCGAGGTCTGTGGTATTAGGCCGGACTATCAACATCCCTTCATTAACTGGATAGGAGTAGCGACAGATGTTGCCTAGACGGTGGCTCCAGCCTTACTGTTGTATTCCTTTGTAAGGACTTTTGTGAATAATTAATAAAGTGGCTGCATGCATCATCCAGATGCAGAAGCTGGGGTCTTCCTCCTTTTCTAAAAAAAATAATAAAAATAATGAAAAAACTATATTCTACGACTAACTATGAGGAATGAGAGGTGTTCCTTGCTTACTAAACTCCCAACCATACCAAGAGGACAAAGTAAAGTATAAGGACCTCCGGAGCAAAATCTCTGGGAACCGCACTCTCAAGACCCGTGGTTTCTAAGGGAAGGAAAGGTTTCAATTCAAACACTAGGCCGCGATATGGGAAAAGCACGATGCTAAGTTCGCTTCGCAAGGTAAACCCGTGTCCTTCAGTGATATCCTAGAGCAGTGTACCAAGAATTTGATTCAGGATGACTACGAGCAGCGGGAAAAATTGTTCATTTTCATACAAAAAGTCTAAAAAGAGCAAGGATGTTAAGTTCAAGTAACTCTTATATGTGAGACCTAATAAGAGAGTTGTTTACTTTCCAGTAGATCAGTGAGTAGTGTGTGATAGCATTGCCAGAAATTGGGTGCAAACTTTCTTTTTTTGAAACGAGACAAAAGATTTGCCATTTTCATTGATTAAGCATAATAGAATTGCCCGATTAATTAACGGGAAACCGGGCGAAAACCGTCACAACACGCCCACACAAAGGGCACACCGGCCGACCTGGCACCCACAAGACCACGCACACCGCCGAGGAGAGGACACCGTCGAGGTTGCCTGCAATGTTATCGTCATCACCTCTCCCCGAGCAGGCGACTCCGACTTCGGCACTAACGACCCATAAATACCCCTCCGAACGAACGACACCGGAGGACCTCATCGGCCAAAGCCAAACAATCGGCCAAGACGTCGAAGACCGGCAACTCCGATTTTGTTAATGCGCTTCATGGGAGAAAGTTGCAAGCCTCGTACCGACCTAGTCCATCACAACCTCCGGAGAGCACCGTCCGCTGAAACCTCCCTCATGGAGTCATCGTTGCCGCAGGGGCCCCGCCACGCGCAGCTCCGACTTCTCTGTCACAGCGAGAAGCAAACATAGGCACACCCATAGGCGCATCGGACCGCCGACATCAGAAGGACCAGCCGTGACCCAGCTCCACGCGCCACCATCATCGTTGCCGCACGAGTCGCAACGCCAACACCTCGCATCACCGGTTGGGCACCAGCCAACCATGATGCCGTGTACGTCCAGCCCAAGGGAAGCACAAAGAGGGATCACCGGTCTTCAAAGCAACGCCCCAAAGGAGGAAACGCCGTAGGGACGACGTTGTTGCCCGACCCAGTCGGGTCTAGGCTTTCACCCGAAGAGCTCGATCCGGAAGTAGATGTTGCGCATAACACGACGGCGCCTCCAAGAAGGATAGCGACGCCCACAGGCACCGCCGCCACCGGCCGACAATCACCGGCAAGGCTTTCGCCTGAAGCAACGCAGACCATCACCTCCACGCAGTCGACCAAGACCAACAACACCTCCGCTGACCCGCACACACCTGCCGCAGCGGTCGCGCCACCGCCACGCAGGGCCACCTCAAACCTCGAAGCCTGCGAGAACCAGCAGAACTGACACCCACCTCGCGCTGCACCACCACACAACCACAGACCCTCC